CACCAGTCAGCTTAGACCCACATGGCAACCCATACGTGCAAAATCGCCTTTCAACTCCTCAGGAAGTTGAGGCGAATCATGGCTCCGCACTTCTCCAACAGTTATGGGAATAACACGCACAGCTCGTCTCCTCCTGGCGGCTGGAAACACCGCGTTCAACGCCACACTGTCGCTTCTTATCCCCCCCTAAAACACAAGCTTTTTGGGGAAACAGAACAAACTGTTTAGTGTCTCATTGCCGTCCCTCGCAGCTGCCCTGGTCCGGAGGCTTCCTGACGCGGAGATTAGAAAGTAAAGTGAGTACTTACAGAGGGAGAGGAAAATCCAGCAGCCTGCCACTTTGTGCCCGATGTGCGGGTTGTTCGACAGCATCCTGGGAGAGTCCTGTGAGCAGTGTAGATGGTGGAGAAAGCTCGCAGTGCTTGGGCTTTCTGACAGTGGTAAAAAAAACAACAGCTTTTTTTTTTTCCTTTTCACAGTTTCAGAGAAAACGGGGAGTGGGTTTGTGCTCCGGTAGGAGGCATCCCCGTTTTCTGTAGGAGGCGCAGGGACGCGCTCTGCTGGCGGGATGAGTTCACTGAGCTGACAAACAGGCCGACCAGATGGGGGCAAAACCAGTTCATATACGTTCACTGATGCTGCCTTCAAGTGCTCTTGTGAAAGTCTGTTTCTGAGCGGTAGACGTGGGGGCTACCATGCAGCTGAGCTTTCCTTTTTGTTGAACATAATGACAGCACTGACCTTGTAGCCTAACAGCTACTTACTTTTTTTTTTTTAGGTTTTTATTGTTTAATTTTCACAACTGCAACTTATACAGAGAAAAACTTCAATATGGCGTAACCAGAAAAAGAAAAGAAATCCTTGTGATGTCTTGTCTTGTTTCATCCGACCAACAGCCCAAAGCCCAAATACCGTAGGCCTATATTCAACTTATATTCATATCAAACAGGGTAAAGCAGATGGAAAATGACTTGAGTGATGATCAACATAGTTGCCGTTAATTGATTAATTGACTAATTGCTGCAATTGTAGTCAGGTGTCCAAATTATCCAAGCACCCACGCCCCTGATGTTGACTTATTATTAAGTTTTTATTATCGTTCACATTTAACTGTCTGAACAAAAATCAGATCGGTTTGATATTTAAAACAACGTACGAGCATCAGCGTCAATTATCCAATGTAAAGTCTGGCTGTGTAAAACCTCCAGATTCTGACGAACTGTACCGAGTACAAAGGTAGCTAAAGCCCTGAACCTTGACACATCAGACAGCAGGAAAAGCACAGGCGTAATTAATTGCATTAATTAACAACGGCTCCATTCTGTTTAGATCTCTGAGTAAGCCAGGCCTGTGGTTTCTGTATTTGGGATGCAGCCATTGTTAATGTTTTTTTTTTTTGCAATGTCAAGTCATAATGTCATGAAAAAGCCCAATCGGGGTCCTCAGTTTATGTCCCTATGTTGACCGTGTCTGTAGAGAACAGTTTTATTGATTTAACCTTGGTGTCTTCCAGTTAGAGACACGCTCAGGTTGTACTTAGTCAGAAAAGCTACAGGGAGCAATTTATCAAAACTCTTTTCCCTGACTCTACTTTTTTGTGACCCAAATATTGTTTTATAGTGTCTCAGTTTTTGGGAAGGTATAGTGACCAGCGTACTGAAGTCATACTTTATTTACATTATGTATTTAAGATATTCATTAAAACTCTTGCAAACCCCCCACAAGTGGCTTCACTTTGACCTCTTATCAGGACTGTGCAGGTGAACAAACTCTGTTTCACTTTCCTTTGAGTTAAGCTGAACTTGTTAAAGTAGGGCGCCTTCCACTTGTTTCATTCTTATAGAGAATTAGTTACATAATTTATCCCCAGTATAACATCAACCCTATTGGGGGTAGCCATAATAACTGAAAATACCTGTGTAGGTTTACTGGGCCTGCCTGTAAATATGCTTAGTTACTAGTTGCATAATTGCATTACTTTGTCTCTGGAGAATGTAATGTTGGGCTACTTGTGTTATATTATGATCCCTCCCAAAACAACAGCTTTATGCTGCACTGGTAATTGACAATAGCTACATTGCATTTAGGTGCTGCTGGGCTATTTTGCATATTGGCTTAATGGTACACCTAAATGATGAGTCTTGTGTCACGTGTGTGTTTACTGCTACATGAATTGTGCCAAGGTTTTTTTGCTAAGACGTGAAGATACAGGATCAATTTCGTTTTTTTTCACAGATTTGCTCAGTTATGAAATACATCATTTGAAGGGTATGGTTTTCTGAGGGCTGCAATGAAGCTAAGAACTTAATGATCCTGTAGAAATGAGAGATGTGTCTAAGCTTGACCACCACTGGCTCGATTTTGCTTTTAAATGATAGAGAGGGAGTGTTAAATCATGCACACTGTCTGTCATGTTCACTTTATTACCAAAAGCATTAACATGTATAAGGATGCTTTACTTTATTGAACAATTTCCATTCCAGAAAATGAAAACATGGTCTAATTCTGTTTATATATACTCGATAGAATCATGAATATCATTAACTTTGAACATTAGTGTTTGACATGACCTCAATGTTCTGAGCCCCATAAATGTCAAATTGCAATAACATGACAGCTGTGTAATTAGTTTCCTCCATGCAGTTGTAGAAACAGTATTTCCAACATCCTGTGAAGGCAACATTCATTCAGATGCACATTGACAGATCAGTTCAGATGTGTGACTATGAACAAGTCTCTCCCACAGCTAGAAACAAGAAAACCCAAGACAGCATCACCCTGAATTCTTCTCCAGTGACAGTAAATGAAAGAGCAGATTTGTGGACAGTGACGGTTACTTGATTTTACAGAGACACAGTCAGATTTTCTGGTTCATGACTTCTGGCAAAAGAAGCAAAGTGTATGCGGTTCACTGTCACTGAAGCCGTTACATGTTTTGTGTGATGAAAGCCTCAACTCTGTAGGTTTTAGAGAGTTGCTCATGTCTATAAATATCGATAATCTGCCTAAAACTTTAAAAATAACATTTGAATTAACAACATTTCAGTTTTCACTTTAACAAGTGGGTGTTATTCTCCAGGCTGGGTCTAAATAAAGCATGTGGATTTGTGGAAAGTTGTGACATATAATTATGGTGTTTTCCACCTAGAATATTTCTGGTTTTCACATTCACAATTACCATCTTCTCTCTCTAAAGGTGCTTATATTTACTGAATAATTCAGAGGTCCCACTGCTTTGAATCTGTGTGGGTAATTAGGTTAGGGTAGGGCCAAGTTCCAATACTGTAATCAAAAAGTAAATGTGGTGTGTACAACCTCCCCCGAGTTACTCTTGTAATTATTGTTTGTTAACATAAAATTGCATGCTCTCATACTTTCGCAGTAAGAGAAAGAGGGGGAGTGTTTAAGTGTGTGCAAGGGATGATAAATTGCAGGTTTTCAAGATCTCTGTGGGTATGATGTCTATGTACGGTGGCCCTACAGTATGTAAATACCACAGTGAGGATTTACTCCATTGACTGTGTGAAATATACAATACATTTCTCTCCTTCATTTTGTTATTTTATGTCTCACTTTACCCTTGTTCATCCATAAAATGCACAGCTAAAAGCCCTCTAAGCTCCACTGTACATGTTCTATATATCCATAAATTGTCACGTTTAACATGATTTGTTTATAAAATATAATGATGACAAATTTGAAAGTATGCACACTTTTATTAATAATACAATGTATGCCACAGCACATTGACAAGCTCTTAGATAATACATTTAATAAACAGATAATATATATCAAAGAAAAAGAAATCTATTACACAAACTAGAGCCATAATCAATGAACGGGTGTGATATGTTTTCTTTTCCCTTTAATTCTATCACATTTTCAGAATCAGGACAGCTGGCTCAGCAATGTTAAATTCTCTTCATCTCAGCCCAAAATTTATCAGAAAGGAGAAAAGATGAATGTAAGATTGTCCTACATTTAATGAACTGAAACAAGATATAAACCCAACACAGACACATTATCACCTTTAAGCTAATATGGCTACATGTTAGCTAACAGTCCATTGTTGATATAAAAATATTGGCTATAGCCACCTTAAGGATGAAGGTCTATATATATCTTCATATATATTTAAATATATAATATTGTAATAAAAATTATCTATGAGCAACCTTTTGCATGAGTGTGTTTTTGTAGAAAAGCACTCACTACAGTACTCCAGTCTCAAGATATACTGAGGAAAATGTGCTATTCCTCATGGACTGAAGTCATAAATGTCAAAGTTATCATTCCTGCTCCATGGTAACAAGTTCCCAACCCCTTTTTACTTCACTTCATACCAGCACTAAGACCTGGACAGTTTGAGTGTTTCAAAATGCAAATATGAGCAATTTTGTGGAACAGCACTCTGGAAAGCATGTTACTGAGCTCCCTTTTTTAATGCAAGCAGCTGTAGTTCCTGAAAAACAAATGGAAACCATCCAGGGAGCACTTGCAGTTTCATTAGGATTTTCATCGTTTTACTTCAAATGACCTGTTGTTGAAAAAGCCAGTTGGGTAAGATTACATATATGTGGGTAATTCCCACGATTATTTAATTCTATTTAATTTTTCTTTGCTCTGTCTTTTTCGTATTGGGTGCTGCAATGACCCAGTTTCCCAATTCTGATCAATACTGTTTCATCTTGTTCAGTTGACTCCAGTTCCTCAGTGCTGCTTATGAAAGGATCAATACCAGCAAGGGAGAGGTCAGGTCTTACACTGCTGTTTGGTAGCTCCGCAGTATTAAAGCCTTTCAGAGCGCAGCGGTTTAATAGCTTGTTACTAGGCCTGACAATTTCATGACAGAGCCTGAAATGCAAAAGAAGACACACTCACTCTAAATATAAGTCTGAGCTGAGTCTGGTAGACTTGCATTGCATATTTACAGTACAGTAGTCTTTACTGTTGTAATGGTAACTCACCCAATCTTGTGTTCCTCTCGGTAAAATGTGCTTTTAATCTTCCTCACTGTCTGTGTCACTGGTTGATGCTGAAGGAAGTCCCAGCTTACTGCTTGTCTCTGACTGTAATTATGCCGCAAGAGGAGCAGACAAAGTTCAGTTCAGTTTGACATGTAGAAGGGGTAGAGACAGAAAAGAAAAACATAGCTTGCACAGCTCACCTTTAGTTCCCCTCTGTGAGTGTCAGTCTTGTCAGGACTGATAGCATCAGAAGGACATGTTTTTAAATTCAGGATTTCATGATCTGGCATACTCAGGGGATCAATCAGCACCTCATAGGGGACAGCAGGATGCTTCCAGGAAGAGGAGATGTGGATGCTCCAGCTCTCAGATTGCCCAAAGGTCCCTGTGGATTAAGACAAAAATCCTCCATTTGGATGTTTTGCCAATTTGCACAACATGGTGCTGAAGGATTGTGACACAGTCACAACTGTGGCTTCTTAAAATGTCACAATGTCTGAATCTATTTGAAATCATTTCTCTGCAGCAGTGCTCTATTGTGCAGCACACCTCCTACAGAACCACGGAGAAATGTCAGCTTTATCTCCAAAGTATTATGATTTGGTTTGAAAAGGACTCGTTTAAGCAGAAATACAAGAGTTAGAAGAGAAGATTGACGGCACCATATATGTGCGTTAAAAATGAAGCTACAGCCAGGAAACAGCTAAGATAACAGTCCAAAGATAACCAAATTCACCTACTAGTATCTTTGAAGCTCATCAATTAACATGTTATATCATCCTTTGTTTCAACTCACCAAGCTGTAAAATATAAATCTGGGGTTCTACTGGGGTTATTTGCTGAACTACTTTCTGGTTGGGTGCAGAGGAGCAATTCCTTTAAGGATAGTTTAAAGACCTATATTTAATTAACAATAACAGTGTGCTTACATGGTACATATTCCTAAATTAATTTATGCTATTTCAAAAATATAACTGCAATACACTGCAAACCTAGGGCCAGGTAGTGTGTAGGAGTACCGGTTGTTTACTGGCACTTTAATTAAGCTGCCGTGTAGTTTTCTGTATGCACTGTACTTAATGGGTACTTGAAAGTCACATACACAATGCACAGAGAGTGGGAGGAAGGTGGTACCATGGGGGGCCAACAGGTAATTTCTACCCCAAGTGGGTTATTCCAGTCACATGTACTGTCACACTGAAATGAACATGCCCATAAATAACAGCATTTCCACCTTAATCACAGCACTATGCTCAAGATTAATGTTATTTGCATGAACATTAATAATGTCTAGAAAGAGGGAATTGACAGATGCAAAATGACACCCACCTATGAATTCTCCATGTGCACTCCAAAGGCGCACAGTGTAGTCGGTGGATGAGGTAAGCACCACTTGATCATTGTCAACAATCTCTAGGCTGGACCAGAATAAAGAGACATGGGATGAAATGGGAGAAGGCATTTCTGGCAGAACACTCTAAATCATCCACTCGGTTGGTACGTCTGAGGGCAGATGCACCCCGGGCAGCATTTTACCTATACTGATCGTCTGTTTAAGACCTTCCCACACACAGTCTCTTCTACACTTTGTTTTAAAACAGCAGAAGGAAGTAATGCTGTTCCTGCTGCAACCAACACCCCTGAATGAACTCCAGTGTGTAACGTTTGAGGATAATGTCCATAAGTCTGTTTTCATTAGTGTATAATCACCTGGAAATAAGAATCATTTTTTAAATTTTTTATTACCTTAGAATGAGTCGTTTTTATTTATGGAGGGAACGGGTGCTCTAGCCTGTGCATTAATCCACACTAGGACACAGCTCTATTCTAATTGCTGTTTGACTGCAGTTGCCTGATGATTTTAAATGACAGGATACATTTGTGATTGCCCATGATAAAGCCTGCGGTGTAGTTTGCATACCCAGTAATTCTGCTGGTGTGGGCACGCCAAAAGATTTCAGCTGAATAAAAAGAAAAAACAAACAATGACATTTTCACAAAAAGGATTTTACACATTCTGATAGACAGTACATCTTTATATTTTTACTAATGTTTAATCAAAGTCAGTGGCAAGAATAATAACACAGCTAACCTCTGGGTGGTTTTTCTGTAGGGGCAAACTTCTCCATGTCGTAAACATAGATGTAACCAATTTGGTCAGCAGCGTACAGCAATGCGCCCTTCTCTGTTTTAGCCAGTTTTTCGATCTTTTGTTGGAATGGAGACTGCAAAATGGAAATATAAATTAAAGTGTAAATGTACTTTTCAATCATAGCATTGACACATCACCATGTATTTATTATTTGGCAATGGCTCTCTTCTGCTTAAACTAAAAGAATGAAACACTAACACCAAACCGTTACCCCTGTGGTGTATAAACGTTACCTTCCCTGCAGACAGACTTAATACATTCCCCCAGATAATAGTCCCCTCCAAACAATCTGACACATAGTATTATACAAAATGTGCCAGGCAACAAATTATGGAAGCAAATCATAAAGAAATTAAAATATATGAAAATAAATGAACCTAAAAATGAAGGGCCATTGTTGCTAGGTATCATTTTTCTATGTGTAAAATATTAACGTATTTTATTTTCATAGCCTAAAAATACAATTTCTGCTTTCTTTAGGAAGATTTCATATGCACATGTTTTATTTTAGCTTCACCAACCCCCCCAATAGTAAGGTTTTCCTGCTTTGAATTATGTAGCTGCGAGGAAGATACCCTACCTGCTAGTTGTTTAAAAACTAGAACTAAGCAAAGAAACGGTGCATCACAAATTATCTAACTGTTTAATCAGCAGTTTAAAGGTAAAAGAAAGAAAAGTAAAACTGGGATCCTATCCCTTGATATCCAAAGGTGAAACTAAGAAATGTTGTTGAGTTAGACATCTTACAGCTCTGAAACTGCCCACGAAATGTCCTCCACTGAGCACGCTCCAGAGATCTACACAACCTATAAAAGAGTAAAACACATAATTGACAGTATATTGACAGACATTGCGGAAGGCTGTAAAGTGCAGTCATGCACTGTAATTACTGCATTCATAACACTGACCCAAGGCCGCGGACGACACAAGAGCTGTAGTGGAGGAAAACTGCTGTAACTTGGAGTTCTTTAGGAAAATGATGCTTGGTACACTTGTATCCAGTCCTGTGTAACAGAAAAAAAAACATCAAACTAATCTAATGTTCTTATCACATCAGAGGTTTTTATTAAATACATTCATCATTCACTTTAAAGCTCCCAAATCACCTTCGACATTTTGCTGTTCAACTAGAAGGGGGCTGACAAACCGACACTGTATACATCCAGAAACCACGTTCCACACAATGATCTCTCCATCGTAGCTGCCGGTGGCTACGAGAGATGGGGGACACTGCGCCACGCAAAGGATGTCCTCCTTATGGCCATTTTTCTGAGGAAAGACAAAGTGCAAGTCTCTTTTAACAAGTAAAATAAAAAGTGAATTTATTATATCTTTACATCTTTATTTGCAAATAAAAAAATATATAGTGTATTACATTTCCCATCACGTCAGCATGTGTTTCACCAACTGTGAAAATGTGTTAAAGCTTCACAGTTTATCTCTTACACTGGCAAGAGAAGTGCAAAGTTTCTATCATCTCTTGTTTTAAGAGGAGAAAAAGTATTTTGAAACATATAAAGCCTAATATGGTACTAATAGTACAGATTATACAGCCAAAGGAATAGTTTTTGGTCCCACTCTAATGTCTATTTGTTAAATATTAAAGCTCCTTTCCACCTACAGTTGGATTTTTGAGATTCACTGTCCAGAATGTCCAGAGTCATGTGAGCATGATTTGTGAAATCATAAATAGTTTGTAAGTAAATCCTGGTCAAGTGTGCAACTTGTGTGATAGAAACTTGAAGCCGTCACTGCACATACACTGAGAATGGACTTTACAGTAATGCAGGAGACATCTTGTGTCCAGCAGGAAAACTTTAGAAAGGAACAAAATTTTCATACTCATAGATTCTGGAATTTTTTTTTATTCCTTTTTAAGGATTTTAAAGTGGAAATTATATATATTTTTTTTATGTAAAATACATATCAGACACATATTATTGTTCCAAGCAGACTATTAATGTCGTAACATATGTCTGGAGGCGATCTAGGTTACTATATGCAGCCGCTTATCTTAACACAGACTGGAAGCAGGGGGAAACAGTTAGCCTGGTTTGGCTGAAGGTAAAAAGAAACTACTTAAGTTCTAACATCACTAAAACTTACTAATTAACGTGTTATATTGTGTTTCTTTAGTGTAAAAATGACTTTTGGTCATAGCCAGACTAGCTGTCCTCCTCCTTTACCAGCCTTCATGCTAAGCTAAGCTAACTCTCTGCTGGTGAAAGCTTATATTTTTTTAGACATTTTACAGACACGAGAGTGGTATCAATCGTCTCGTTTAACTCTTGTGTAGCGTATTTCCCAAAATGTTGAACTATTACTTTCCCCCTATCAGTTTAGAAATGATCAAGGAGTTTGCACACTTCACATAGTGAGTAAATCTCTTAAAGGTCATCTGTCTTTTGACCAAGAACTTCAAGTAAAAGTCTCTGTGAAGAGCTAAGGAGTCTCATTAAACAGTGGAGAAGACTCATGGAGAGAAAAATATTTTGATATTGTTTTAAGCCATGTATGAATCAAAGAGTTTTCACTGAAGTCTTGTATTTAATTTTTTAGTTCTTTGGCCAAGTGTATCACACATTTCGCATCAACGACTGACTTGATTTCCATCCCTGAGGAAGCAGTCAAGCCTAACTGTTTCACAGTGATACAAAGCGATTCACCTTGTTCTTATTTCTCACTGAACTCAACAGGAATATTTTTGCTCAGAGCGAGGCTGCCAACAACAAACTACACAAATCAGGAAAAGCAGATGGCATTTTGGACTTAGGCACTGATTATTGAACTTACTGTAAACTGTATTTCAAGCCAAAGTGAAATATTTTGCTGAACTGGGCCATGTTTTAAATTTTTAATGAGATGCAACACAACACTGACCATCTGGAGGAACAGAGAAATTCACAGTGAACCCGAGGCTTGGTGGATAAGGGAAAGAGACCAATATATATAGAACAACCCATTGATCTTCCTCCTCCAGGCCAATATGAAAAACAATTTCAAGAGAGGGCTCTGTAGATAATCAAAGGGGTCACTTTTCTTACTGGTGACTCTAATGCAATCTGCTCTGTTAATGGGCCTCTTTGGGGTGAGTGTAACCACCAGCCATAATGAAAGAGATGGAAAGGGACTAAGCATCACCTCCTCCAATGGATCATACAGCATTAATAAGACTTCATGTTCCCTCCTACAGCTCATGTAGATAGATAACTGTACCCTGCTGTCAGAGGTAACCTGACCACATAATGCATCTAAGATCAGATAAAAGAATCTATTTTGTGATATTATTGGGTACTGATTGTACAGCTTTAAGAGCATGAGGCTCCATTCATTATTACAGTTGGTGATTTACCTGATAATGATCTGGTTATTAAAAGTTTAGACTTTTTAAAGCAACATAATGTGTGTTATATTGTATCACATAGAGCAGAAATTGGAATTTAGGTTTTAATGAAATATTTTAACAACTATTTGACTGATTGCCATGAAGTTTGATACATATTCATGGTGTTCAGATGGTAAATCCTTATTATTTTTGGTGATCCCTTGTTTTTTTCTCTAGCACCTAATTTGGTTGCTGTAGTTTGTGTTTAGTGCTAATTAGCAAATGTTAGCATGCTAACCTGCTAACCTAAGATAAGGAATAGTAAACATATCAGCTAAACATCAACATTGCCATTGTCATTGTGAACACGTTAGCATGCAGATTGTAGCATTTAGGTCAAAGCCCCACCACAACCTTTTTCACAGCAGCTATTTTGACATGAAATAGTAGGGTAATCACGGGTGTTACCAATGATGCCAATTAATGCTATGCACTGAAGATATTAGAGCCTGATTGAAGATAAAAAGGGTTAAAAGAACAGAGTCTTTAAGGTATTAGGATAATACTATTTTGTGTTTATTAATGTTGGGTATTATTTGTGTTGACATATTTTGCTGATTTACCTGAAGTATTATTTTGTTTAATAATAAATGACTAAATGTTGTCATATTGCATTTAAAGCACATGTGTTGTGTCGTATAATATCCTAAATAATACATATTTTGGGTGAATGCTTTTTGAGTGAATACAAGTTATTTGGTATTTTAAGTGAAGATTAAAAAGGGAAATAAGGTCATAAGAGTTTTATTATTTTGTAGGTACAGGTAATAGATTACTTAAACCGTAGCCAAGACCCCGCCCAGTACTATAACACACAGCAGATAAATATAATCTACATAGCTACATGGGACGGGTGTTACATATATAAAAGCCTTTCAGGTGAACCAACATAGCAGCACCCTGACACTGTTTGACCTGAATGGGGCTGAACCTTAATTAGTATATTTAACACCTGTATTTACACTACTATTTCATGCCAAAAGGGCTGCTGTGAAAAAGGTTTGTACAACCTCACAGACCCAGAGTCTTGTGTGATACACTGCCACATTAGTAGTTATTTAGAAAAATATAAAAATTTGGATTATTTTACCTATAGGGAATATAGTAGTCTCAAAGTTGGATGACCAAATTATGAGTTTTCTTTCACGATGAGATATCCATAAATTCAAAACACTCTCTGACAAAATGATCAATGATGAGAAATAGAAATTCCTACAGAACATCAATGGTGTTGGCACTGTGACGTGCCTTGGATTACAAACCTGTGACATTTTAGAGAATCGAATCATTCTTCTTGAAATATCTGTATAGCCTTTTGAATACACAGTGTCTAAACTTTTGTTTCTGAAACTAATCCTGACATCATTTTATGTGCAAACTAAAATGTGTGCAAGAAAAAAAAATCACAGGGGATAAAATACTGATATAACCCTATATGACACAGTGGTGGGGATGCATAGGGCATTTGGTGCCCTCCTTGTGTTTTGAACTGAGTCAGGGATAAAACCATCCTTACATTTCAGTGACACCTCTGGAGCAGAGGCTGTCATAAACTACAGGTATGCTGACAGGTCAAAGCTTGGCTGCACTGGGACTCAGACAGAGAAAATCATTGTGATGTGAGGACATCAACAATAGTGTGTACGGGAGAAAACATTACTAAATATGATCAATAAATATTATACAGTACACAATATAAATTATTATATACAATATTGGTACAAGAATATTGCACATGTATTAAGAGAAACAATGGAAATTCTCCAAACTGAGATAAAGAGATGGAACAAGGAAAGAGGGAGAATAAAAGGGAGATGGGGGATGGGGTAACTTGCTGCTTAAGTTAACATTTTTTCTGCAGGCGATGCTGCACAGTAGGGCAGAGATCAGGGAGGCTTTGTTACCTATCTCTCTCTGAGCTTTCCAGCCAGTCAGCAAAAGCAATTCTTAGGACCAAAGACTACAGTGTCTCCTTGTGTCCGTCTAATATGAAGGCAAAACCAGCAGGGGAAGCTTTATCTTCACAGCCCATAGGTGCACCAGAGAATGAGGCAGAGCACGGAACTGGCCGAGCACCCCTACTATACCTATAAATTCTACTTAAATGTACTACAAGGAGTTTTTAACTGGTTATGAAACCGTCTCAATTTAATAGTGTTGCTGCTGACCTACAAAAACAAACCAGATCATCAGCAAGTAGATTAGCTATTTCTCTGTAGTTATTCTTAATGACCGCCACCGGGTCAGATTTGGTCGGATTCCTCTTGAAACAAGGCCGTAGAAACACTACTGCTTCTGTCCACAGGGGTCGCCAGAACCAACACAAACGTTCCTGAGTGAAAGGGGCTTTAAATATTATAGCTATACTTCACTACTTTCCACTACAGCAAAATGCAGAATTTATTTAAATATGTTTATAAATACAAATAAACTGCAGCAAAGAAAAAACAAGCAACAAAAAACAGTCGGTTTTTGCCATGATGATTATAAATAGATAAACAAGGTGGCAATTAAATAACTACAGAGCTAGCTCACATTGTGGACTTGCCTGATGTGCTTTTGATCATACATTCAGTTCACAACAAAAAAGACCCAATTTGTCCTTTAGTCACTTTCAACACAAAAAGCTGTGCTTTTTAGAAATGGAAGAATAATGACTGAATACATCCAATGTTTCTACTGTTGTCATCTATTCTGCCTGAAATAAATGTCACAGGGGGAATACAAAATCTCAGTTGGAGCCGATTGAACTACTTATTATTTTGGTCTGCATTAACTTTTCTGAAAGTTATTGTCAAGACAATTTTAAATTCATTAATCACCAGATCATCCTGCCATGAAGGCTGCGGCCTCTGGACATGATGGAGGTCCTCTGGTATGTCCTGACAACATACAGATGCACAGTCAGCAAACAGGAGACATTTTACATATCAATAATATTTTGTTTGAAAGATAAAAATAGCTGGTAGAACATCCTGTTTGAACATTAAAAATCTTATTAACCAGACAATAACAAGAACTGTCATCAGCCATGCAGCAAAAAATGCGAATACTTTCTCAATTGTCTGGTTTTATAATGAAATTCAAAATAGGCTATATGAACTATCAGTTGTGTTTTTACTGTCAGAATGGAGTTCGGCTGGTAATAACCATGTAAACAAATGCAAATGGGATGCAATGTGATAGAGGGATGAAGGAATTGGAGAAATAATTGGAATGGGATTTCTGAAAGTCAGCTGACAAATAATACCTAGAACTCATGTCTTTTCTTTTGTACTCACTGAGTAAATGTCAATCTTCCGGTCCCGGCCGACAGACATCACATAGCTTCAAACATAAATTGCACAAACTCAACATGGATTAAAATGTATACTGAACCAAGAGCACTTGCCAAATATCACATCATTACTCACAAATTCCTGTGAACTTTCAGAAAGATACAGTCGAACACCTCGTGAGATTCCCCATCTACAGGAAAGATTTAAAGTGATTGTTCACTATTACTGGATAATATAGTTTTTCAAACATTGTGTTTTGAGGGAATAATGAAAATGTACAATACATACCTTTTTGTAGTGTCTTTAGGCACTGACCATTGTTGAAGTTCCAGATCTTTAGACAACCATCTCTTCCACCTGTGATGAGTCTGCAAACACAATAACAAACTGTGGTGTGATAAAGCAGTAGCTAAATACATATTTTATGAAAAGTGAAACAAGCTTGTGTACTGTACCTCCTCCCTTTGGGGTCAAATGTCATGCATGTGATGACAGACAGGTCATGTGTGCCACCAAACTCAAAAATCTGACGCCCAGTGTCAAAATCCCAGACTTTCACCACCTAAAACCAGTAACCTTTTGAATTAATTGTACAGTTGATATACTGTACATCACATAAGTATGGTGGTCATGTTCCTGTTTACACAGACTGGATTCATTTTCTGGTTGAAATATAAAGTTGGTCATCTGTGTCTGTGATGTTGTAAAATACTCATTTACTCACAGATCCCTCAGTGCAGCTGACGACTTGACGAAACTCCTCAGTGTAGCCGCAGCACATTACAGGCTCATTATGCGAAACAGTCAGACGGCTGTGAAGCTGTGGCCTTACAGAGGAAAAGATAACAAAATGAATAACAGGGAGATGAATATTAAGGAGCTGCCGTCATATCTGAAGAAAATAAATCTTAAATTCTGTATCATTTGGGTGAAGTCGGATGTTTAATCCCTTAAAAGGAAATCTTCAAAATCATCAGCTGTCTTCTTCAGTTTTAGAACTTCACAAATCATCATCCTTAAATTAGCTCAGTGGAGGAATATTTTCAAAATATCTTCAGAGTACATTGGAGTCTATGATGAATAAAGCACAAAGGCATGACAGCCAACCTTATCTTCAGGGAGAGCACAGCCATACAGTCTGCTGCAATGTAGAGGGATCTCATAGCAGAGGAATACGAGCATGCAGATATGTCACCATGAATCCTGTTTGCTTTGGGCTCTGCAGTAAACAAGCAACACAGATCTTGAATATCCCAGATCTGAAAAGTGTGTGAAAAGCAAAGGAAAAGGTATTCACATAATTTATTTTAACTTAGAGATTCACTTAAACCACACTATAGAAATACACAAGTAAAAGTACATAAGTATCAGCAATAATACTTAAAGTATCAAAAGCAAAAGTACTACTCCTGTCAGTGTTATACTATACTACTGGTTCATTATAATTAATGTATGTAAGTAGCCCTTAAACATTGTAGCTGGTAGAGGTGGAGCTAATTTATACTGCTTTTTATAAAGCTGTGTAATCTGGAACAATGCATCATATATACGTTTTAAACGATTAACATTTGTGTGTAACATCTTAATCTGAAAAGTAACTATAGCTTTCATATAAGTGTAGAGGACTAAAAAATATAATATTTAAATTTGAATTGTAGTGGAGTTGAAGTAAAAAGTAGCATAAAATGGAGAAACTCTTTCTTTCTGTCTCAATAATTCATTTACATACATTACTTGAGTAAATTATTTTAGTTGCTTTCTACCACTGTTGGTGAAAAGTCCACAGTGGTTAATGTATATTGTGTGAATGCTGTATTCATTTTCATAACTTAAAGTGCAAAACATTAAAACTGAATCGTGACTCACTTTCACAGTTCTGTCTATGGAGACTGAGAAGATCTGACTGTCCGCTGAGAAGATGCAGAGGTATATGATGGGAGCAGAGTGGCCTTTCAAAATACCAGTTGGTTTCCTAAATAGAAAAACAGAACCAAGAGAAGTTGTTAAATTACTGTTAACTGTCTTCAAAAAAAGCCCACTGAATTCTGACTCCTCACCCAGAAAAATGTGGGTTCCACATGCGTATAAGTCTGTCCATGCCTCCAGTAACCAGCAAGCTGTGCTTCTGACAAAGGTCAAACGTCTTGACACCTTTGTGGATGGTGAAAACTCTCTGGTCACATGATGTGCGATGCTGTGGAGTCCAGCTCAGTTGGACCTTCTTGCTCTTACCTTCGTAGCAAGCCTCTCTGATCTCGTTCAGCTGCTGCTCAGCGTCTGTTAACGGCAGCATGCGGCCTCAAGAAGAAAAAAAAAAAGCATTTTATTACAAGGTCATGAGCATCGATCAAAACATGCTTTTTGGAGCAAGGGTGAGTCATTATCAGAATAAATGACCAAACTGGCAAGTGGACATGGGTGATCACACACACACACACGCACATACTGTAAATAGACATGCTGGCATTGATTGGTGAATCTGTGATAGATGAGTCATCAAGATTCATCCCTCACAGCTCTCCTACCAGGCAGCCTAATGTTCAACACGGAGTTTAATTACTGCACATTGTAGTGTGAATTTTTTACTATCATCTTTAGCATGCATAATTTTTTATTTGGATCTTAAATCACAGAAGAACAGACAGGTAAGTGCATATTAACTGCAAGTCCTGATAATTAAAGTTTTGGATTATTTGTTAGATGGTGCCAAAAAGAAAAAAACAAGCCAAAGACACAAGATGAACAGAAATTACCTATAACGAGAGACGAAGATTCTTCATTTGATGAGGAGACAACAGCTTGAAAACTTTGAAAATATTTAGCCTAAATATAAAGAGAAGAGTTAGTTGCTCAGTCTATGTTAATTATCTGTTCATAATGCGAATATATGTATTGTTACACAGCTTCTGCAGATACTGTGAGTTGTCACTTGGCTGAACTTAAATGTATTTCTGTAAGGGAAGTGTGTATATATATATATATGTATATATGTATATATATACACACGGAAAGGTAAAATGTCACCTGTGTCACCCAGTCCTGATGAACCTTCCATCTGACAAATGTCACATTCAGAGAAAGCACTGCATTGTCAATCGCTATGTTGGGTATATTTTCAATCTTCGGTAATTTATTCCATAGTCTATAAAAAGAAAAGCTGAGATGTAAAATCAGGAATGAAACTGGTCACATTTTCTCAGGCACAGCCTCACATACATACAGAACATGTAATTTCTTTAAATGGCTAGGGAACCTATAGGAAGCAGAAGGTATAATTTTCCACCACATCTTTGAAATGACCGTACTAATATGACCAGGCTAATCTTTCCACACACTCTTATACAAGCAGAACAAAATAACCACATGATCATTACTCATTAAGTCAAGTCACTATGAATCAGACTTGCATACATCCATTTTCATCCTGAATACACTGATAATGCCATTTAAACTAAAAAGGGCAATACAAAAGAGAACTTTTAAAATGATGTTGGCCACAATATAGGTGAAAAACAAAGACCTTAATCAATGATTCACTCAGCACTGACTCACTCACTCAAACAACTGCTATGTGACACAAACATATTTCTGAAGGTTTTTACAAACGAAAGAATCAGATGCATTTGCAATTGTTAAATGTGACTGAAGATAAAACATTTTTTCATACAGCTCTAAATATCTACCTTTGATATGTCTGATTCACTGCAAATGTGAATGAACATTCGAAAATAACCTTGAAAAACCCATGAAAAAAATGACATCATAAATCTCAATCTTATTCAGTTAAAAGTTCTTTCAATCAATCATTGTACGAATTCAAAGAATTCTAATGTTATTTTGCTCAGGAATAATGCCCCAGACAATCACTCATAGGACATATTCTTGTGTGTAAGATTAGCCAAGAACATGATCTGGGAGAGAGGCATTGCAGCAGTATACTGATACCATGGTATGGAAATTGATCATACTGTGTACATTTGCTCATCTAGGGTATTGAATTTTACTGTATCAGTGTTATTTCTAAAACATATAAAGAGAAAAAAAAAAGATCTCAACTCCATCACTTAATTCTCCCATTCCAAGCACGAAAAATGCCCCTATATACAGCCAGTAATCGTTGTATCCGTTCTTTCTGGGCT